AGCTAAAATATTACTTGTATTGAAATATCCAAGTTACTAACTGAATCTCTGAAAACTGAGAAATGAAGAAAGAGATTCTTATGTCAGTGTTGCTTCACACTGCCTATTTTCTGTTTCTTTATGTGCACAGCAGTAGTTATTGTTACAGTGTCATCTAAAAGACAGACAGCTTAACTATACCTCGTAAGACTTAATTTTCCCATTCCTTGGCTTTCAAACCATCAGACTAAGTGAATGCAGAGTGCTCTATGATGGAAATATAATTTTGGTTAGATGTGTGCTGCTACAATATTTTATTTATACTGTTTTTATTTTGTTTACAACCTTGAAGTCATAGAATCATAGAATGGTTTGGGTTGGAAGGGACCTTCAAGATCATTGAGTCAATGCCCCTGCCATTCAAGAGACCAAATCACTCAAAGCTCCATCCAGCCTGACCTTGAATACTTCCAGGGACAGGGCATCCACAACTTCTCTGGGCAATCTGTTCCAGTGCCTCATGACCCTCATTGTTCAAAATTTCTTCCTAATATATATAATCTAAATCTACCCTGTCTCAGTTTGATACCATTAACCCTTGTCCTGGCCTTGGTAAAAAGTTCTTCTCTGTCTTTCTTATAAGCCCTTTTTAGGTACTGGAAGTCCAAAGTGTGGTTTCCTCAGCCCCCTGTCTTCTCCAGGCTGAACAACCCCATCTCAGCCTTTCTTGGACAGGTGGTGTTGTATGTATGTGAATGTATGAAATATACGTGTGTTATAGGAGTCCTACTTTGTAAAACAAATTACTGTTAAAACACAGAACAGAGATAATGCTTACATTTCATAGTGTGTAGTAAAAAGAGAATTCCATGTTTTTGAGCATTAGGTTAATTAATAGAGAGAAACTGTCTGAAGGGAGGGCTTAGAAAACCACATGTGCTGAAGCAATGAAAGAAAAGCAACCAACAGTATCTGAAGCAATTGATGAGCCCTGTCAATTAAAATTAGAAATGAAAGACTGGCCACAAGTCACTAATAACTCTTGTGAGTGCTTCTTTGGTAGACTGACCTAAGATGAAACACCTAACTATAGAATGATATGTAAGTCAGGGGTGCATTTATGCCTTCTGAAAAGGAAAGAAAACAGTTACTGGAACAAAATAGGACTGGGATACAAATGGGCTTGGAGGAGAATCAGTATTATTCAGACTGACTGCAAAAAAACTATATTAAAAACTGGATAAAATTTGAAATGGAAAAAGAGAAGGATAGTGAAAGTTGAAAGTGGTTTTGTCTTAATTTTTCTTGATGAAAGTGTGACATGCACTGCTGTTAGGTTCTCTGAATTGTCATTTAATTCTTTGATCTGGTTCCAGAGCTCTATCAGCCAGCAACCTACCACGTATCAGAAGATGGTTCATTTGAAATTGTGGATGAAACTACTGCAGAGAAGGTAAAAAATTTATAGAGAATGCAGTTAATACAGTAGGGAGAGTCTGGGACATTGCTGAGCCCTCAAACTCAGCATATTGATTGATATTTAGAAATCCTTCATTATTGGAAAGCAAATGCCCAGATATTTCACTTGTATTTTACTATTTGCAAAGGATACCCAGCTTCCAGAAAAATCTTTTACTGCACACCTGAAACAATTAATATAATTAAGTGTTGCATGGCACCAGACTTTAATAGATCCACTAAAGAACTTTTGAATGCATTGACAACAAAGGAATTGATTTCATGATGTCTGAAATAGACCCCTCTACATTCACTTTCTTTTGACCCTCTACTCAGGTCCACAATTGTATCACTCAGTGCAGTAGAACATACCTGTCTGAATTAATAAGTTGTATTTTCTTAGTAGTAGCAATATTTATTTGATTAAAATGTTTAGATCTGGAAGCACTTTACAAATCTCAGTAGAATCTTAAGCCCTTGCCTTTTGCCTCTGCAAAGTGTGAGTAATGTTACAACAGAACTTGAACTGGGGCTTGTTCTCTGTTTCCAGAGTGGTGTGCATGGAATCTCATTCCTGTAATTCAGAAAGGTTGGAATGCTGAAGTTTATAATTCTGTAGGGCAGAGAAAGAATTAATGCAGGCATGAGGGACTTCTCAGAGAGGAGGGATGTTTCAGCTGCTGGGAGTAAAAATTACACCAGAGAGCCTAAGAAGAAGAAAGGAATTTCTAAAAAGAGTGCTGCAGATAAAGTATTCAAGTGCTGAATGTAGGGGGAACAAGCAACTTCAGGGGCTGGAGGTGTTTTGAAAGTATGCCACGAGACTTCAGTTTCATGGATGACATTTATTGCCTTTTTCTAAATAGAAATGCATCACCGAAGGAGGCACATCTTTGCATCCTTGACCTATTCCCAATTGCATGTGGAAAGCTGTGTAGCTGTACATGTTTTGCTAGACAAAGTACATGTTTTGTAACCTAGTGAGTTTGATTATCAGTTGTTTTTCTGGAAGCTTGCTGGAATTTTTTGCCAGGGTCAGTACAATATGCACACTCTTTTTCCTTTAGGTGCCCTGGATCCCTCTGGACCCCTTGAACCCTGATCTGGAACTGTATCCAGAGTATGCTCAGGCAAAGCCTTTGAAGTGTACAGTGAAAGCTGGTGAGATGTTATATCTACCTTCTCTCTGGTTCCATCATGTTCAGCAGTCACATGGCTGTATTGCAGGTAAAATAGACAGTATTTCCAGATACATTTTTGAACTATGATGGGTGTGCAGGTAGATATCCCACAGCAAAGCACCAGTGGAAGCAAAAGTTCCTTTAAGGTTTTCTACCTCTCTGCAGGAGGGAATAACAATCTTGACAGATCCCATGGGGCTGCCTCCTTGCAGCCTGTTTTGCTTATAATTCATAGCTTTGTTGACACGACATGGAAGATACTCTGTTTTCTTATGAGCTGAAATCTGTTCTGATCCAGTCTCTTACCTTGCTAATAGAGTTGTGTTTGTGTTACTGTTCCCCTGCACTTACCAAAAGTCTTTGTCATCACTTTCTTTGTAGGATTTATCATAATCTCTCTATCCCTTTTTTTCTTCTCTCCCCAAGTGAATTCCAGAATTTTGATCAGTGCTCATTTGGTACATGTGGAGGGGTGGGGATGGTGCAAGGTATTATTGTTATGTTGTGCAAGTTTTGCAAGGTTTGAGGAAGAGAATTTTGTAAATCATTACATTCTAGATTTAAAATGTTTTTCCCTTTTCTTGTCTCCTCAGTGAATTATTGGTATGACATGGAATATGACATTAAGTACAGCTATTATCAACTACTAGATTGTCTCACAAAAGCTGTGAAAATGCCATAGCAAAGGTGGGAGACTCGAGCCTGTGATGTCTGTTTCTGATGTGATGCAATCATCAGCATCTGTGACTGGAGTACAAACGTGATTCCCCCAAAAAGAACTGAACATTAAATTACGGTCAACAATGCCTGCTGAACACATCATGGCTATTTTTCTTGATTTCAGAGTCCAGACCAATTGGCCAGATATTTTGGCTTGTAAGGAGAACTTTGATAATAGGATTTTTAGGCCTTTGCATGTTGCCTTGGTGATGGTGAGCAAAATAAAATGTGAAGGGAGATAATCCAGGTTTTGAAAATCTCAAAATGGAAGCCCTGACTGTTTGTTCAGATCTACAGATTGTTTTCATTACAACCCAAGTGGACAAGGGAGGATCTGCTCTATGCATCAGGCTGCAACAGTCCAGTCTATGCATTCTGCTTAAGGCAAAAGTCTGTCCTGTTGTAATTATTTAAGTTCAGTGGCTGTGGTGTTTTGATGGTGAGAAACTACAATTTCTGCAATAAATAGGTCAGTTTAAACCTTATTTCTGTAATAATTTACTTTTTTTTTTCCAAAGTAAACAATGGCTGAAGGACATCTAGGAGGACATGCAAAAGTCAATCTTGGCTATTTTCCAATAAAAAGCTACACATTTTTAGTGCTGTTTTTTATTTCCTTTCACTGTTGTTTTTAAACATAACTGCATTCTCTTGCATCCTGAGAGATGATTTTAGAGTTGCTCTGCCATATCTGCAGTCAATCTGCATATCACCTGTGGTCTCATGGCATGAGGCGTGATTCTACAGCTTGTAAGCTCACTGATTGTTTCATTCCTTTGCCATTAATTGCTGCTTAGAGTATGGTCAGGCAAGTTGTTTGTACCAGGGGCCTGGTTCAAACAGCCATAATTCCCGTTTTTATTTCCACAGAGTAGGATGGGACTACTCACGTGTCTGAGACCCCTAGGGTAGGACAAGAAGTCTTTTAAATACGCAGACATTGCAAAAATGTAGTATTGTTGTTTATGAAAACCAAAAGCTGGTGTTTATTGTCAGATCTTCAAACAGATCCTTAGAAACATTTTTAATACAGGGGAAATTAATTACTGGGAAGGAAAAAAATAGTAATTGTTTGACTCTGTTTCTTTTGCTTTTTAAAAGAACCATAGTTATAGCATAAAGTTTCATTTTAACTTGCGGTGCTTGTCCAAAGATTGCAGGAAGGTCAAGAGGGATCAAGAGCAGGCTTTGTTTCGTGGTGAGACTAAGATGTCATGCTGCTTAGGCTTTGCAGCTTGTCTGTGTTTACTGTTCCCTGGCAAAGTCTCCCAAGCCTTCCAAATCTGGGATTTCCTGCAGCTGGGGGGGCGCAGCAATTTCGATATCTCTTTTTGCTGCTTTGGGGTTTTTAATTTAGTTTCTCTCTGTAATCAAAAATAAAAGCACTCGCCAAGAACAAGTGACAGCTTGTGCCCGTGCAAGCGGCCGGTGTCCCCGAGCCACCCGAGCCGGAGAGTCTGGCGGGAGGCGTGCTCTGAACTACGGCTCCCAGCAGCCCGTGCCGGCCGAGTAAAGGAAGTGCTCACGATGATTCCTCCTGGACTTTGATCGGAGATTTTAATCCCGAGAAGGGACAGGTTGCTGAGGCTCGTGTCTCACGCAGTTCAGGCGGTCGGAGCCTCACCCCAGGCAGGACCACAGCTCTCAGTCCGGCCAGCCGGGATGGCGGTGCGTCTGTCTGTCCTGCCTTCCCTCCGGTGCCTGTTCGATGAGCCCGTGCAGATCCGTGTGGCCGGACTGCAGCCGCAGCAGGCGGTCACCCTCCGGGCCAGCCTGGTGGACGAGAGCGGGGAGGTTTTCCAATCCCACGCTCTCTACAGGGCTGGGAGCAGCGGGGAGCTGGACCTCAGCCGCTCCCCAGCGCTGGGGGGCAGCTATTTGGGAGTGGAGCCCATGGGGCTGCTCTGGGCTCTGCGGTCCAAAACGCCCTATAAGCGGCTGGCAAAGAGGAATGTCCTGACCCCTTTCTGTGTGGACTTGGAAGTGTACGAGGGCCATGGGGACACGAGCCACTTGCTGGGAAAATGCATCAACGAACGATGGTTTTTAGGAGAGGGGGTGAAGAGGATTTCGGTTAGAGAAGGTCGTCTCAGAGCAACCCTCTTCCTCCCTCCTGGTGAGTTTAATTTCATTCTGTTTTTCTAGGTATGTCTGACACCAGGTATTATGCCCCGTGGTCCCTGAATGCACTCAGCAACCCAGAGCAAAGCCTCAGCTAACGCTTCTCTCAGCCCGTGCCTGGCACAGGTACCTGGATCATCACAGCAGAGCAAACGGGAGCAGGTGTTGCCCAGGCGGGGCAGGGGTATGGTGGTGCAGAGAGGGCAGCATTGGTAACACAAGGTGTCTCCTGGTTGTTCCAGTTGAGTGTCTTGACCTCTCTTGCAGCGAGAGCTTTGTCAAACAGTGTGTTTATTTCTTAGCTTTTCTGTTTAGCTGACAGGACAAAGAGGCCCCGGTCCTTGGCAGAGCTGTGATGCGTGACAGCTCTGGCTGTGGGGTGAAGAATGACAAGGCATGTGGGAGCACTGGACTCAGGCTGCAGCCAGCCTAGGCTGAAGAACCATGCCCTCAGCAGCTCCTACAGATGTTCCTGCAGGTTCTGGACCTGTCTCTCTGTGTCTCTAGCTAAGGAAAAGCCAAAGAAAGAAGTCTCTTCCTGACTGGGCAACTGAACTGCATGGGTTACTTAGGGAGATGGGAGACAAATGGGAAAAGCAAGGTCTTTAATTAAACAGGTGCCATATTTTACAACTCTGTACACAGACAGTGCTGAGAATGGACCCTGTGCAAAGCTGCTTTAAGCCTGAAGTGTTTCTGTTCCTTGAATGCCACTTAAACATGACTGTCTTGCTCTGTAATTAACAAACAGTCCCTTGCAGCTGCAGCAACACCACATCTTGTAAGGGAAATCTGGCTGTGAGAATGGGCAGACCAGCATCAGGAAAGGAAGGTCCTATTGCTGCAGGAGAACTGAGGAGCTCAGGGGCAGTTACTCAGATCTTACTGAAGCCTGAATTGGCACAGGTCAGTTCTGGCATTTGTGAGTATTTCATAACCCCAGTATTTCATAACCCAAGTATTCCCTTCATGGCATGCCTTCTAGCATAGTGCCTAAGGAAGAGCCACTCCTGCAGTAATACTGTTTCTTCATTGATCCTCAATGGTCTGAGGACTTGTAGGCCAATGCCAGCTCAAATTCAGGATGAGAGAAGGATGTCCAACATGTGAACTTCCTATAATGAGTTCCTAAGAGAAAAGAAATGCGCAAATTCATGTCCTTACAGTCATTTTATGTGTTCCTGAGAATGACACCCATCATGGAAAGCTTCAGAGGATGATTTTCTGATATCTGCTGTCCTTATGTGTGCTGAGGAGACACCACAAAAGGAACATGTAGAGGAATTTTCTTTTGGTTATGTATACACCCTCCTTTCATTGCAGGACCTGGCCCATTCCCTGGACTTATTGATTTGTATGGATCTGGAGGAGGTCTTATTGAATACAGAGCAAGTCTCCTGGCTAGCAGAGGCTTTGTGACTCTGGCTCTTGCTTACATGTCCTTTGAAGACATCCCTGCTATGCCAAAGATCCTTGAACTGAGCTATTTTGAGGAGGCTGTGAACTTTTTGCGTAAGCAGCAGCAGGTAAGAGATGAATTATGGTGCTCTTCCTAAAACTATTTTCCAGTTTGATAATTGGTTCCTAGACTAGAAATATTAAATTGCTTAAGCAGGAAACAGTAATTTTGTACTAGTTTTGCATATTTTAAGATTTTAGAGGGGAAAAAAATCCATTGGCTTTTTTACTGTTTCTGAGATATTACAGGCTTTTGATTCTGAGTAAGTTTTGCAGGACAGTAATAAAACACTCTAACAACAGAATCCTTTACAGTTGTAGCATTGGAGGTGTGACATATCTTAAGAAGCTGAGGCTGTATTTGAACAAGTGTGTGGGACAAGAAAGACATTTTATGGCAATGTATCATCATACTTAACCCAAAAGTGACCAAGAGAAATCAAGTAGCATATAAATTTTTAATGCAATGCTACTTAATGTGTATTTGTTTTGCAAAGTTATTTACTTTCTATCACATGGACACCAGGATTGTAGGCAGTGTGAGAGCAGAATTCAGCCTTGCTTCTTTGTCTTGTTCCTCAGAAAGCTCTGAAACATCTAGAATTCAGTGTGAAGGCCTTCACTAGAAATAAGTTGATTTAAACAGCTATTGGGCTCACTTAGCCTCAGGTGTAATGAACATTATGAAATGGTGTCAGCTGTAGGGGAGAAGAAATTGCATGAAGAAATTCAATGCAAGTAAACCTGGGAAAAAGTGGCTTGGAGAGAGGAGCAGTAAAGACGCTGTACTGAGAGCAGGCTGAGCTGGGATGTGGAGGGAGCAAGGACAATTTGTCTATGCAGGTCACCAGGAGGCAAATGTGTTACAGGAAGAGAAATGTTGAGGAACTGTAGAATTCGTAGTCACTCTTTTGAAGGCTCAGCAGAGAGGGATAGATGAAGGAGTAATATAACCTAAACAGAGAGAGGGAAGGGGCAAAATATGAGTGGCTGTAGTTGGATGAGTGAGAAAGCAGAACTGGACAGGGTGTGTCAGCTCGGGAAATAAAGAGTAATTAATATTACTGTTTTCATAATTCTGTTTCAGGTGAAAGATACTGGCATTGGTGTTTTGGGCTTGTCTAAAGGAGGTGATGTAGCCCTTTCCATGGCCACATTTCTACCTGGGATCAAGGCAGCTGTCAGCATATCTGGAAGTAGTTTTAATTCCTTTATTCCCCTGAAGGGGGATGGCTTCACTATTCCTGTCCACCCATATGACTTGGGGAGGGTGAAGATCAGTGATGAGTCTAGAATAGTAGATTTTTCAGATGTCTTAGACGATCACATGGACCCAGCAACTTGGGATTGTCGCATACCTGTGGAGCGGTCCTTAGCCAAGTTCCTCTTCCTGTCTGGACTGGATGACATGAACTGGAAAAGTGACCTCTATTGCCAGGATGCTGTTCAGCGCCTTCGGCAACATGGCCGAGAAGTGGAGTTCTACTCCTATGCTGGAGCAGGGCACCTCCTGGAGCCACCATACTTGCCTCTGTGCAAAGTTTCAATCCACAGGGTGCTTGGGATGTTGGTGCATTGGGGAGGGCAGTGGAGAGAGCATGCTAAAGCCCAAGAAGATGCATGGCGCAGGATACAGGCCTTTTTCTGGCAACATTTGATGGACTCAGACATCCCTAAGAGCAAGCTGTAGTGGAAACTGTCATAGATACTGGCCAGGGATGGTATTTCAGCACTCACTGGATCTTGGAAACTCACCCGAAGTTTCCTGGACTGCCTTCGTCTAAACTCCACTGTTGCATAGTTGTTTATTTTCATTCCCCAAATAATTTCCCAGTTTTAGTTGAATTTCAGTTGACTTCTGACCCCAGCTTCACAGTAGATTGGCACCATCTGTGCTGTAGTCTAAAAACAACCCAGCATCCCATCATCTAAATCACATTTGTGCTGAGCTATCTTTGCCCTCAATCTGCCACCATCTCCTTTCATAAGCGGAAATACTCTTACAGGAGGAGTTATCCATGGAATGGTTTAGTCTTGCACCTTTAACTAACATAGATATAAACAGCAATTTTGTTGGACAACACTGTATTGCACTCATCTTTCCTCCTGGTATATTGTTTTCTCCCATTTCGTAGTAAAAAGGTTGCAGTAGTTCTGATCTCAGCTAAGGGAAGAGGCACTCTTCTGGCTTAATCTAAAGTGCTGTAATAATATTTTTTTTTCCTAGTACCTCAAAACCCAGAAGTGAATCTTACCCAGGTTACCCTGGTTGTATCTCCTGCTGACTCCATATAAGTTCCATATTAGGGTAAAGTTTTTGCTGCACCACTCAGTGAGTGCAATGTGCAGTGTATCTGTGTTTGCACAGTTTGCTTGAGATTATCTGAATGAAGCCTTCAATCATCTGTGCACCTGCCAATACATTAAGGAACAATCCTGGTGTGGCCACAAGCTGTTCCTTCACTTGATTGAAGAGGTCATGAGCAGAAGTCCTCACCTCCTGTTGGGAAGACAAGTGATGAAGTCTGTGGTTTTGCACAGGGGTGATACAGATGTGCCAAGTACTTGCTCTCATATGGTGAAAGTTAGTTTGTCTCCATTTTGGGGGGAACAGTAAAGCCACTGCTGCTGAGTTCCCAGGAGCCCAGTGAGGTGGGCTGCCTCAGTGGTCCTGCACTATAGCAGACAGCTGTGGGCTCAGTGACAGCTAAGAAATGCCACTCTTCAAGAGAGGACTGACCTCACCTTCTGGAAGAATGGGCATTTTCTTACCCTTTACTAATGTCCAAACCTGCCAAGGGGGGGCTGTAATCTACCTTGTGCATTTGTGGGATAGTAGCCAACAGCAGCTACATATCAAACGGCACCAGTGGAGCAGATTCTCCCTCCTGGAGCAGTCAAGACTCACACCCGGGCAGCAGAAGCAAGCAGGAGGTGGAAGTCTCTGCATTGCACTGAGGTAGAAAAATCTTGCCTTTGACAGTGTAGTCCCTGGTTTCCAGTTCCTGCTGAGACAAAAGCCCTGTAGGAGCCTGGATCCTGCTGAGGGAGGAATCATGCTCTTAGTTTTCTTACTTCAGGGAGGCAATGGTCACTCAAAATGAGCACATTGGGCCTCAGAGGGGTGGGGACTCTCTCATACAATATATTCAGCACAGACTGTCCCTTCAGGTACTTCTGGTTTTCCTGAACCCACTGTTCCTCAGACTGGTAGATGTGTACCCTGTAGCTGAAGGTGTTGAGTAGTTAGAGTGGGGACATCTCTCTCCAGCTCACCCATACTGGTCATCCATCAAGTTTTATGCTGTTGCCCCTTACTTGATTTCTGTTTGGCCCTTGTGTGCCGATGTCCTGCATGGACTGTGATTGTTCCAGATGTTTAGCGAGTGGGTGGGACCTGGCAGCAGAGTAACATGTAACAGCAAGGAAGGTCAAACACATTTAAGCAGTTCCATCTGAGTAAGGAACATTTTCTTTTCCCTAATTTTTCTGTGTTATTGAAGCATTCAGAAAACCCTGGGCTGCTGATCCACATTTTCCTCAGACTCAGGGCTTTAGGCTGTGAGGTTCTCTGTCATATGAGTAATTAAGTTATTTTATTTTTAATGAACACAGTGGGGTTTATACAAAGCAGTGTGTTAGTTTCCAGCCTGTGGGATAACTCACATTTATTTTAATCCCTTCTGAGGGGAAACTAGCTTTCCCAGCCTTCAATGAGCAGTTCAAACATCTATACTTTGATTTACAAAATTGTGACATTCTGAGAAAATACATTATCTATAGGAAACTACCATTCCAAATAAAAATGCTTTCCATCGGTAAATCAACAGTGTGGTCAGTGATGCTTTCATCCAGTTTTTATGTTGTCACATTTGGCAGTCAGGTTCTTGGAAAACAGTGTTCAAAGTAGAGGACGAAGGGAGCTGACTGGTGACTCCATTGATGACAACAGCACATAGGACCTCTTTCTTTTGTTGCTCTGGAATGACAGCTTTGCTACCCACTTAAGAGCCCTTTATCATTTGGATGACATCTGACAAGAAAGACTGAAAAAGCTGATGTAGCTGAGCATCTCTGTACAGGAGAATATTCAAGGCAACTCAGTTGCACTGAGAATACTTTTAAAATTAAACTCAAAATTGAAACTTATTTTCAGGAAATAGAAACTGGAAACTGATGTCAGACTAATACAAAATAACTGGAAATGGCTTAATTTCAGTAATACACTTCTGCCTGTTCTTAAGAATGTTCTTCAGCACTTTGCTGAAGATTTCGACTGCTTAATGTTTCTTCTGCTGAAGAGATGGTTTAGACCAGTAGGGCTAAGATCACAGGTTTTTTCAAGACAATATTCTACTAATTGCAGGCTGTTGAGTCAGAGTTTTTCATATAGTCTCTCCAGGCCTGCTGAATACAGACAACATTATTCAAGAACAATGTGAAAGTTATTATTTAATTAAAGATAATGGACCTTTAGCTGCAAGAGATCCTCTGCCAAGCACAACTGATAAATCTAATACAAGTTGGAGGGGAAACTCTGTTCTTGTAATCCGCTTAATTGAAAAGTGCTTCAGATAAAATAGAGTATCAAAGGACTAACTTGAACTGAAGGATCTTGTCTTTATTCTTAGTCACCCACTGTTTAGCTCTGCACTACATTTCTATTTTGAGAATAAGAAAAGCTTGTGACAAGCCTCTTAAGAACTGAGAATATCCCCACATATAAGCTGCTATGAACAAGTTTACTATAAGAGAACAGTATGTCTTGCAATGTTTTTTTAGGGTAGGATGATTTCCCCAGCTGTCATGGATTCAGGCAACAATGGAGAGTGCTGATTTGCCCAATACATTCTTAAGATTTTCCATCTTTGCATTGAAGACTGACCCTGAAGCATTTTGATACATATACAGTATAATTTGAAGGAAACTGCAGAATGAAAGTAGACAAAAGGCCTTTATTAGCAAAAAGTGAACCACAGGTGCAGAGGAGGTGAAACATCTTTGAGAAAGTGGCTGTCTCTGCAGAAGTAGTGGGTATTTGAGGCTTCAATGGAATTTTAATAAGGATTATGCTGAGCAGAGGGATTTCAATGCAAATGTGCTTCTCTAAGCCTTGAGCTTCTTCAGGTGAAGCAGTGTCTCTGGGTGGCTTCTGCAAGTGAGGTTGTTTCATGGCCACAGAACAGGAATGAAGTGAAAGATGAGAATATATTTTGTGTGGTGTAATTTAGGAGTCACTTTTCTCCATTTCTGGTTTATACTTCCTGTGTGTATTTGAAAGTCTAAAGATATAGTTTTTTTTTTAAATTCAAAGCTTAGTTCTGTAATACATTACTAGATGATTTGTTATCAAGCTGAGGGATAAGACCAGTGTTTAATGACAAAATACAAATAGTAATTTTTTTCTATATTTTGCTAAAAAAATTATAATTCTACCATTTCATAAAAAAAAAACCCTACTATGCTGCACTTTTTAGTGCTATGTACATATTATTCAGAAATGGAGTCTGGAATGGAATCTGATCCAAATGTAGTATTAAGCACAGAGAAAGTGATTCTTTGTTTAAGTTTGGGAAGCAGTAAGATTAATATTTCCAATGGACTAGTGCTCCTTGCAGCATTTACTGTGATATATCCCTGCTATTTTTCATTGTTGAGGACAAAAATTAGAAATTCTGAGTCTTAAAAAATTGTCTGTGCAAAATTTGCACAAAACCTAAAAATGTCTGTACCTGACTCTGGATAGTACTTAGAGAAAAATTAGTAAATAAGTTACATTCTATTTCTTTAGGATTGTATCTTTTCAATTACCTAAGCTGCTGAACCTTCAATATTTTGTGTTTAGACTGGGAATGTATGTTTACATTAAAATCACTTCAGTTAAAGTTGTGGTTTTACATTTTTTTTAACTCTTTTAAGAGTACTTAAAAACTCTTGCTGCCCAGAGGGACAGTAATGCATTTTTTCTGGTTAGTGATCTAAGAGGTAATCCTGTGGAAAACAAAACAGAACAAAAAGAAGATTAAAATGTTCTGCTGCATCAAAGAAGGAAACAGCAGGAACATGTATGGGGTTATCAGGAGAAGCAGGGGTGAGCCATACTGTGCCAAGATAAGTAAGAAACTAGTACAGTTTTTAGTTATGTCTGTAACAACTAGTCCAGCTGATTGTAAATCATGAATCCATTTCTGTATCCTGAAGTGAGTGCTTGGTGGCTCATTGTGTGCTGCCCCTGTTTGCAGTCTCTCTTTAGAAGAATTCCAGCCTTATGTTGAGTTCTTATTCTCAACAAACTTTGCAAAATGAATTCTGTATCTCTTGTAATACAGATGATCAGATTGTTGTGTTGAGGTATGTTGAAAGGAAATTTATTAATGATCAGATCTCAGGTTTTTGTCTGATTAGTAACGTTTCAAACTACAACATACTTAGCACTGATATGGACTTTATTCCTCTGTTAATCCACTGACTATTTGGACTGCTGCTGCAACCTGAATCCATTCTGGGAGCAGACTGTATCAGAAAAGAAAGAGCCTGATATATTACTGCAAGAGAGAGGAGATTATAAAGATTGTATCTGCTTCAGGGCAGAAGGGCTTGCTCAATGCTTCTAGTAGCTCTTGAGCCCCCATTGTGAAATGAGGAAGAAATGGCAGACCCAGCACAAACTCTTGTTGCAGAGGAGGATTCTATCTAAAAATAAAATAAAATAAAATATCTGGTATATCTGGAATTGGGCTTTAAGAATATGGAGATGCAAATGCTGATATGACAAGGATTTCTATAGGGAAATATTACCTCTTTCATTAATATGTGGCTGTACATTTCTGGATGTAGATTAAGTTTGCAAGAGAAAAAGGATATTATCCTTGCCAGCTATGGATTTCCAATGTATCCTTGACTTACTGCCATAGGACTAAAAACATCAGCAATCCCTGAACATGGTCTGGATTTGTAAAGGTTTTCTGACAGTGGAATACCTTCTGCTGTCTTAAGCTGGTCTTCTACCCCTGTCAGAAGAAAGGAAGGATCTCTTCAGCAATATATCTCTGCTCTAAAGACTTCTTGTT